TAATGATATATTATATTTTTACCCCAAGGATTATTAAAACCTAGATATGTGGTTTGATTTGATTATGATACATATATGTATACGTTTTAATGATTTGATATGAATTGGTTTTGATACGATTTGGTTTTATAATATGCATTTGTTTTGGAGAAACTATCATTACATCCGAGTTAAATTTTAAGTTATTTTTCTTAGTCTCGTTTTCCTCATTTAGATGTGTTATATACTACTCATTGAGTTGTTGATTTGCTTACCCTCCATTATTTTAATTTTATAAGGTTTGAGGGATTACCCTTTTAGCTTTTATTTGTTTGCTTATCTTGAAGTCGGCACATTGATCATGTAGATTATTTACTTATAATCTATTAGAGCCTATATTTGATTTTGTAGTATTTCTTAAAAGCTCTACAGGTTATATCTTATGGGATTTGTATTAGAATCCGATTTTGAGTATTGATTTAAGAAATGCAAGAATAACATGGAATTATGATTCATGTTAGAGATCTAAGGTAATGAATATCAAGTTGGATTATTATAAATTGAAATGATATTTTAATGTGATGTAAGATTTGAGGATCATAGTTTATTTATTCAAGACTTGCTTGGGTCAAAGTGGGTCTCATGGTTTCCTCAATTCTCATATCGATAATGGTCCACTTTGGAGGTCGTGATAATAATACACTTGATGCACTTATGTTGCTAGGATAAAAGGATCTAATCTGTTTGATATCCTATGACTATGTACCTCTACTAGTCCGTATTGATCATGAACACTTGTACCAACACTAGATGAAGTATCATACCTTGTATTTGAACAATACAGTTCTCTTGATTGGTAATATAGGATATTCAAGTTCTAGTATATTAGTCAATCTATCGTAGTAGTCATTTTTCTCAAGACTATAATTAACTTATTTTATGCATACTCCATTACATATTGTTGCTCTATCCGAATCATGGCATTTAGTGTGAAACTTGTAACCATTCACAATGGATCATGGATACTACTTTGTTGTTCATAAAGGCCTTTTAAAAAGATCTTTAATGTAATGGTCGGTGATCGAGTTGGGTTATGCATTACTCATATATTGAGGAAATCATGATGCAAAATTATTTTTGAGCCGAGTATTAACCTCATGCTTTGATATGTCCGGATTGCTTTGATAAAGTCGGCTCACATAGTAGTTATCGAAGGAAAAACAACTATAAGATTATTAATGTCTTTATTATTTATAATTGATAATTAATGAAGTGCGGTATTGAAAATTTTACAAATTTATCACTTACTCGGTATAAGGTGTCATCTCATCATAGTTCAATAAAATATAGATATGCAATATAATTTTTTCTTCATCTGTCAATGTATGTGATTTTGCTTGACCAAGTGATTGACCTTTTGGTTTGAATATAGCAATCATCCCTTTAATGTTGTCATTTGATTCTCAAGCACACTCAAATTACGTGAAACTTTTCGATGGTCGGTATACACATGAGGCCTCGAAGTAGTATGAATAGAATGTTGGCACTTCTTCAACTAAGTATGCATTACATATTGACCTTTCAACTCTCGCTTTGTTCTTTATATTGTTTTTAATTATTAAAGATACTTGTATTATATACCTATGTTAGTTAACAAATATTTATAAAAAAAAATATAATCAAGGATTCAAAATAAATATATTTACCTTTCAAATGAATATATCCACTAATATTGTATTGGCTTTGCTATTTTTGCTTTATATGCCAAATGGATCGGAAGATATTCCATTGAATCGAAAAAACTCGATTGAAATATCCGCTTAAGTTTGAATAAAATTAAAGGTATCTTTATCTCGAGATGGCTCTTATATCTTTAACTTTAATGACAATAGAAGTTAATTGTTTAAAGAATAAACTTAACTTAATTAGTGCTTGCTAAATATTTTTCAATAATAGGTACAAAATGTGACATGTATTAATCTCTGCATAAATAAATGAAAGTCATGACTTTTAATGCATGCAATCTAAGGTTGTTCATATCAACGAGACCTAGCTAATTTTGACATATATCCGTCAAGAAACTCGAGTTGTTTAGCCATTCAAGGAATTGCATTTTTTATTTTTTTGTTTAAGATATAACATGCTTTAGGGTATCTTTCAAAGTCTTCATCTATTTCTAATTCGACCTCCGACAATAAAGTTTCAAGTCTTCTATAGAATTGACATTGTTTTTTATTTTTTCGATACATCATTAGTATATTAAATACATTATCAAAAATATTTTTTTGAATATGCATCACATCTAAATTGTGTCGAATTATATTGAACTCCAATAAGGAAGGTCCTAGAATATACTTCGTTTCTTTCAACTACAAAATCTAAATATACTTGTTGTTACACTCTTTAGAACCTTCTTTCATGCCTTTCATCAACCCTTATTTTTTTTTTAATTTCATACAAAATATCCATTCTAGATATGATCATGGGAGCAATGTCTATGATAACTCGTATTTCTTTTGTACGCATTCTTATTGTTTCTAATATGATGACTTTCCGGTAGAAACTTATAGTGACTCGTTAAACCAAAAAGTCTATGTACCATTACGGAGACTAAAAGCATCGAATTTTTTATACAATAAGGGTATGCTATTTTACTCGTAGTACTTCAACTAGACAACATTAAATATGCAGAAAAGTCACTAATTGTCCATATAACTATGACTCATATCTAAAAATTCTACTTGCATGACATATTATAGGTAACCACACCAACTTCTCACAAATCAACCAACTCTTTAATAAAGGACTCGTAAGTACATGTCCAAGTTGATCTTTAGTTTTTTTTTTATCCTAGGATAATTACGGATAAAAACATATATTCTTTCTTTATACACTTCCACGGTGGCAAATTATAAGGCATTACAATTAGAGGCCACGAAGAATATTGTTGTCCAAATAGACCAAAAGGCTCAAACTCATCGGTGCAAACTCCCAATCCGACATTCTTTATTTTTGATACAAAAGAAGGATGTATTTGATTAAAATGTCGCCATGGAAAAGAGTCGTAGCAATGATGCATGACGTTTTTCTTAACTTCATGCTCGATTTTCCAAGTCACATCACTAGCTATGGCATTCAATGCATACATCCTTTGTAATTATGAGGTTAGGGGAAAATAATATATTTTTTATACGAGAAATAAGTTTCTCTAATCGATCCTCACCTATGATTTCGATATCGAGGATGATTACGGATTTTACAAATAATTCTCTCATTGTTTTCACCCCAATTAATCATGCATCCATTTATACAGCTATGGATCCGTTGAATTAGTCAACCCATTAGTTCCTTCAACTTTTTCATATTATAAAAATCTTATGATATACAATTATCAACAAACATTTACTTTTTCATAAGTTGACATAATTCATCGTAACACCTCTTTGAAAAATGATGTTTAGATTTTAAGTATAACAAATGTGCCAATATAGATAACTCGTGAGTGATTTTCCGAATCTGTTCACATCTCTTTATTGGATGTATTCAACAAATCATAAAATACCCGAACATCAAGATTTAGGACTTCATTGTTGTTAGACGAATTAAATGATGAATCGGTAGCATTCATCATCACTATGTGATATGGATTGACTAGAGTTTCATCAAATGTTTGTTAAGTTTTAACAAAAATTTCCTAGTTATCACCATACAACACCGACTCACTTGTCTTTATGATGTCTCTACACATAATACCTAGAGACAAAACCATATCTCATCAAATGGTACTTAATCGTATCGAGATCTTTATAATTATGGTTTTGATACTTTTTGAATTTACAAGGACATCTTATTTTATTTTTATCTAGACACTCAATATGACTAACGATAAAATCAACAAATTCATTTACCCTATCTACAAAACCCCGATTTAAAAGATCATCGATATATCTATAGTTAATCCATGAACAATTCGAATTCATAAATTATTTTTAAAAAAATTTAATTTATTTAACAACTTTGAAACTTAATTAACTATCAAATTAATTAAACTAACACGTAATTAAATATTTTAAATTAAATTAAATTAAATAAAGTAACAATTAATTTACTTATTTTAACAACTAAAAAACTTAATTAAATACCAAATTGATTAAACTAAAATGTAATTAAATATTTTAAAATAAATTTAATTAAATTAATTAATAACTAAGTTACTTATTTTAACAACTAAAAAAATTAATTAAATACCAAATTTATTAAAATAACACGTAATTAAATATTTCAAACTAAATTTAATTAAATTAACTAACAACTAATTTACTTATTTTAACAACTAAAATACTTAAATAATTATTTTAACAACTAAAATACTTAAATAAATACAACAACTAAAATACTTAAATAAATACCGAATTGATTAAACCAATACGTAATTAAATATTTTAAAATAAATTTAATTAAATTAATTAACAACTAATTTAATTAAATTAACAATTAAAAAAACTTAATTAAATACCAAATTGATTAAACTAACATATAATCAAATATTTTAAAATAAATTTAATTAAATTAATTAACAATTAATTTACTTATTTTAACAACTAAAATACTTAATTATTAAATACCAAATTGATTAAACTAACATGTAATTAAATATTTTAACAACTAAAAAACTTAATTAAATACCATATTGATTAAACTAACATGCAATTAAATATTTTAAAATAAATTTAATTAAATTAATTAACAACTAATTTACTTATTTTAATAACGAAAAAACTTAATTAAATTCAAATTAATTAAACTAATATGTAATTAAATATTTTATATTTAACTAGCAACTCTTCCCTACAGCAGTAGGAGCCCACATAATTAACACCACAAGAAGAAAAGGTTTTACATAGGTATATAGTCCCTACACAAACTATACCTCACGTAGGCTATATATAAATATATATATTACACTCACATGATGCTTTGCTGGAATACATTCTTTTGTTTTAAACAAACCCTACATTAACTCATGGAAAGGGTGCTCTTAATTTCATTTCAGTCGGCTCAATGTCAATTGCAAAACCTTTTCCATGCTGCTTCCAGTAGTCAGCTTGCGGATTGAGCCACTCCGGCTCTGCAAACTCAACCCTTGATTTCTGGATGGCACTTGTTGATATGCTGTACTTATCATCCCTCCTTTGAACAAGCTCTGGCTTCACCATGCCCAAGTTTACAGCTTGTGGAGACACCATTAAAGCAGGTGCACCTAATGGAAGCCTATCACCTTCATGGATATATAAATTAATTAACACCACCAAAAACACACAGCAAATCGGATTATTATATACATATATAGTGACTTCTTCTGTGCTGGTCATACAGATAGGAAGTAATGCATGTTCACTTACCCCTATCAGCCTGCCATGTGCACCAGAACTTGCCATAGGTTTTACCCAAGTTCTCCAGTTCCGGTTTCACTACCGCTTCTGGAACACGAGGATTAACCCAGAGGCCTGATTTGATCTGTGCCCATAACCGATTCTATTAGAGCTTTCTTTTACACTATTTTCGCGATAATTTAATTCACCAAAACAATAATAATATATAAAAGGAGGCACAACCTCATAGGCATGGGAGTGCCACAGCTTTTGCTCCTCCGGTGGAAGAGCCTCAAATATTACATCCGAGACTATATATTCGACTCCTATAGACAGGAAAAATAATATGCGAGTAAATCCTTGCCATTAATGAGTCAAGAAAGCTTTTTAATTGAAAGTTTAAATAGCACAAAAACCAACAAAAATTATAGTCCGATCGTTGTGGATTTAGCAATATGATTGCCATTTAATGCGAGACCCTCATCTTTTTTTTGTCAAGATGAGTAAAAGAACAAAGGAATTAAGAGAAATAATTTAGGGTTGGCTGAAGAGAGAAAGACAAGTTTACCAATAAGACGGCCATGCGAATCATCAGAGTCATAAACAGCACACTGAAGAAAATCCTGGCTGATCCTGGTAACATAGTGGTGAGTCTCAATCTGGCGAGACATATCATGGCTGTAAATAGCGAAAGTACAAGCATGCTGGGACATTTCCTTCACTGGTTTCAAAGACTGTAACATCTGTGCCCCTTTGTCAAGCATGTGTCGCTCCATTGACATAGTCTTCCCTGGTGGGATAGGCTGATCCCCGCCTAGGGTTGACGCAGGAGCTGATGACTTATCACTTGAAGCCATTGAAATATTTTCAAGGTTTTGGTCTAGCTGTTTGAGTGTGTGTGTTTTTAGTTTGGGTGGGTTAACTCTTGAACGGATGTTTTAATAGAGACAAGAAAATAAGGAGTTCAGAGCGTGGGAGGTTTATGGGAAGAACACGTAAGCATGCATGAGAGTTGAGGTGGCTGAGAGTAGTGACTTTGTGGACAAGAGGGCCACTTCCTGAGGGATACAATTCATCTAACATAGGAGGTGTTAGCCACCTGGTAAGCTGATACATAGCTTGCGTGACTACAAACATGATCTAGAACTGCTGAATTAATTAATTAATTTCACATGAGAAATTGGCAAGAGAAATTAAATTAAGATGGTAAAAAAAAAAAAAAACCCTTCTAATTAATACCATTATTATATCTATACTGTATATTTGAACGTGTTTGATCCTCGAGGAACGAATGACATATGGTATTTTTATGTTTGGGCATTGAGTGAAGTAATGGGTGATTTGGGGCATGTGGGTTTACGTGTGTTGTAGGCTTTAATTTAAGGAAAATCTTGTGAAAGGATCGATTTTTTTTTTCATTGGAGTATGTTATGTTCATGATATATAAATAAATGTAGATGTAGTCCTTGTAATCTTTTAAAAACTAACAAGCCATGGGACTTAAATATTTTACTTCAGTCCCTATATGTAAAAATACTGACACTACTACTTTCTTATTGGTGCAATACTACTGAATAATGATCAAGTTATAGGATTATGAATATTAAGACATGCAACTGGAACAGCAGCTTCAACCGCGTCTTCTTCTTTAGAAATAGCAACCAACACATCTTCTTCTCCAGAACCAAGAATCAGCAGCAGTCATGACAAAAGATAGTAGCAGTAACCATGACAATTTCTTTTTACCATTTAGAGAGATGGAGCATGACTATCTACCAGTTACAGAGAAAAAGCATGACTCTCTTTGTAATAGATAACAACCAAATTAGGATTGCAACAGTAACTCTGTAATATATAATTGAAACTTTTTAAAGAGTTCTATTCTCTATACACTTGTAATCTTATAAAAGAGAGTCACAACTTGAATAAGATCAAGTGAGACATTATTTATTCATCTCTTTCTGTTTCGATTTGGTATCAGGGCCTCAAAGGTAAAATTGCAGTCGTCTCCTTCCTTTTTAGATTCGTGCTTCCTCCTCTCTAAGCGACTCTGCCTGGCTTCTTCTACTAATACACCTTCTTTCATTGATACCCCACTGCAAATCTTAACCAATCCATACCCAATCACTCAGCTCTCTCATGCTTACCACTTCGTCTCTCTAAAACTTACCAACACCAATTTTCTATTTTGGCATGTTCAAATGAAACCAGTCTTACTTGGACAAGGCCTTTTCAGCTTTATTGATGCATCTAATCCCTGCCCCCCAAGCCAAACTCTTTCAACCGAAATCGATGTCCCTCAACCAAATCCTTTTTATCTTTCTTGGATTCAACAAGACCAATCACTAATGAGCATACTTATTTCCTCTCTTTCTATTGAGCTTTTTTCAATGATCATTGATTACACCACTTTCAAAGAAGTGTGGTCTATTTTTGAACGTGCTTTTGCTTCCCTTTTTAACACACACCTTATGACCTTGCATCTTGCCTTACAGAAACTCTGCCAAGCCCCTACTGAATCTGTCTCTTAATACTTATAGCATGCTAAAATATACAGTGATGAACGCACTGTTACTAGTTGATTTCAACTTATATGTTTTCAAAGGCTTATCAAGTGTCTTCAAAAATCTTATCACTACTCTATCCACTAGTTTAAAACCAATAAACTTTATTGATCTTCATAGTCTCCTTCTGAGTCATGAGTTTCTAATACGTGAATCCTCCTTTGACTTATCTCCTTCTGCAATAAACATAGACATATTGCCCACATGTTCATTTGCTCATTTAATTCACAAAGCTAACGAATTCTCTAATGATCGTTTTAATAGTGCTACCCATGGAAGGGGTTGGTTTTTTCGTGGGTGAGGACATGGTAGAAATTCCAACAGGTATTGCCTAATTTTACTTCTAATGATAGGGGCAATTGGACCCAAAATGAGCATAAAAATAAATATTAGAATTTGCTCTTCTTGGACCCACACAGCATTACGTTGCCCTCAACAAATGCTTCAATCCTTTCATCATTCTGCCAATATTTCGGCCTTCTCTATTGCTCATCCGCATTCATGTTGTCCTAACACCAATGCTTCCTATCATGTAACATCAGATTTAGCAATTCTTAGAACTTATGAGTCATATCTGGGTTCTGAACAACTATAGATTATCAATGGTGAGTACTTACCTATTCAACACATTGGTTCAAGTCATATTCATGCTCTCTTTAAAACCCTTAAATTACTTGATATACTTCATGTACCACACATAACTAGGCCTTTACTACTTATTCAGTGATTAGCCCATGAAAATAATTTATTTTGAGAGTTTCATCCTTCTTCTTATTGTGTAAATGACTAATACACAAGACCCTTCTTCTTTTCGGCCTGTGTGATGTTGATCTCTATGTTTTATCATATTCCACTACTCCTTCCAATCCTTAAGTGTATCCTCTTAGTGCTTCTCCACAACTAAGAGGCTTCTCCACAACTACACTCTGAATTGGGTCATCCACATGATCATATTCCATCTTTTATTTAAAAAAAAATCATAATTTATCATGCTCAACAAAATAGTCTAGTCCTTGCTTGCATTGTCCATTAGGGAAACCAAGTCATTTATATTTATCTTTATCTTTTTATTTAAGTACTAGTTTTTTTAATTTAATTTTTGGTAATGTATGGGACCTTCACCTTCTGACACTATTGATAGCCAAAGTATTACATAGTATTTATTGATCATTTTTCAAAGTTTAACCGGTATTTTTCTTTATGCAAAAAGTTTGATTTCTTGAAGATATTCCTTTAATTTTAAAAATTAGTTAAACATCAATTTAATTATTAAATTAAACAAGTTTAAACTGATTGAGGTAGGGAATTTTGAAGTCTCAATAAATTTTTTAAATTTATTGGTATACTAAATCGTATTATGTGTACACTTACACACAAATGAAATTGATTCGTTGAGAGATGTCATCGCCACCTTATAGAAACAAGTCTTATCTTATTAGATAAAGCTAGATTCCCTAGAAGGTATTGACATTATGTGTTTGCAACTGTAGCATTTCTCATTAATCGTACGCCATCGTTTGTCATTAATAATAAATGACCATTTGAAATTGTTTTAACAAACAATCAAACTACTCCTTTTGTGAAAATCTTTGGTTTATTTTTTTTATTTACGTCCTTATAATAATATAAAATGGATTTTAACTCTACTCTTTGTGTCTTTCTTGATTATACTTCATTCCACTTAAGATATTGCTTTCTTAACAAATATAAAAACCAATATTATATTGCTCGTCACTTAAGATACCGCTTTCTTAACAAATATAAAAACCAATATTATATTGTTCGTCATGTTCACTTTGTAGAAATAATTTTTTCATTTGCACTATCTAAAGATATGCCCACCCAAAGTCATTCAGATTCTATTTCTCCTTGGGCCTTTATTTTTATTCGGGGTCCCATTCTCTTTCATATCTTATTCCTCCTCTAGTTAGCATCCCTCAATGGCTGATACATCTGCCTAATAATTTTGGTCACAACCCACACCCAGCTTATAGCCATTCCATCGGCTCTCTTTCTTTATAGCTTGCCCATGTCCATACATCTAATCCAGGCCCAAATCTTACACTCCCACAAACACGACTCGTAATCTCCCTTCAGGCTAGTCCATCCCAACCTACTTCTCATATGACACCATTCCATTAACACCCTGCACAAATAAAAGCTACAGCCTTCAACCAAGTCATCCCTCTCCATAATAAAATACTCACCCAAATATCTCTAATACATTTATTGCAGTAATCGTTCCTACTTTCTCACATATCTAGTAGACTATATCTTTCCCAAGTCTCGACAAACATGCTGAACCTTACTCCTCGACTATCTCCATTATATCCTCCACTTCTCCCACTAGTTCCTCTTTTAATCCACCTAGCTTGAGTCTTATCTTAGACTTTAGAGACTAAGAATTAGCCCCTTAATTACCAAGTACTCACCTGCAATAGCCACAAGGTTTAAAAGCTTTATACACGTACCCCATGATGTTCTGTTCCATGGGTACTTTCTCTGAACCCTTTGCCTCATCAGCTACATCTACTACCCTAATTCCAAAAATATCCACCTATTTTTTATAAGCATAAAAGTATACAGAGTGGTGCTCTACAATGTCTAGTGAATTCAATACTCTGTTTATAACTCACACTTGGAGCTTAGTGCCTTCCATGAATTCTATGAATGTTATATGCAACAAGTGGGTTTTCAAAGCAAAGAAAAAGGCTGATGGAAGCATTGAGAGATATAAGGCAAGGTTAGTAGTCAAAGGCTACCATCAATAAGAAGGAGTTGATTATTGTAAAACATTCAGTCCAGTTATCGAGCCTTTTACAATCAAATATGTCCTATCATTGGCAATCTCTTATGGTTGGGAACTTATCAATTAGACATACATAATGCATTTCTTAATGGCAGTCTGGTGGAAGATGTATTTATGTCCCAACCTGTAAGGTTTGTTGATATGTGGTTTCTTGATTAAGTTTGTAAGTTGCATAAATCGTTTTATAGTTTAAAGCAATCACCAAAGACTTATATCTCATGTCTCTAAGAGTTTCTTATTGGTTTTGGTTTTGTTGGTTCAAAAACTGACTCCTTCTTGTTTATCTACAACAGAGATGGTTACAAAGTCTTCCTCCTTGTTTATATTGATGACATTATCATCACAGGTAATCACTCTTCTTTCTTGTACTCTGTAATAACTGCCATGAATTTTTGATTTATCATAAGAGACCTTAGAACCATCAGCTTCTTATTGGGCATTGAGGTAGTTTAAACAACACAGGGAATTCTTCTCTCTAAATGAA